AGTAAAGGTATCCAATAGATACTAAAGTGACCCACGCTTTTCTTTATAGTTATTTAAATAGTAGTCTATAATTTATTTTCTACTTTTTAGTGCATCATTACATAAAAGCTTGTTATTAAAACGTTTTTTATGAATTTTTTTACAAGCTTTTATTTAACTCACTTCCTCTGTCGTCAGTCTGTCTAGACGGAAACGCAGGAGTGAAAATTCGGAAACTTCTACTTGACCGATACGATTCACACTTGGCACGTGGGTCAAGACATGAAGACAATGCAATCTGAAACTAAATTTGACTTAATTGGATGCCTAATTAATTTTTTATTAATTAATTAAAATTTGGACCGAATTAGTAGGCATGTCTAGCCAACCACACCACACGCGTCATCACCTTCAATAGCTGCGCCATCACGTAATGGCTGCGTTCAAAAACCATTGCGCGCCTACTGAACGTGATGTTCAGTAGGCGCGCAATGGTTTTTAGTCATGTAACTCTATTGTAAATAAAGCATGTAAAGTACTAAAACAAAAATTCATAAAAAACGTTTTAATAACAAGCTTTTATGTAATGATGCACTAAAAAGTAGAAAATAAATTATAGACTACTATTTAAATAACTATAAAGAAAAGCGTGGGTGTCTTCCTTAACATTAGTAAAGGTATCCAATAGATACTAAAGTGACCCACGCTTTTCTTTATAGTTATTTAAATAGTAGTCTATAATTTATTTTCTACTTTTTAGTGCATCATTACATAAAAGCTTGTTATTAAAACGTTTTTTATGAATTTTTTTACAAGCTTTTATTTAACTCACTTCCTCTGTTGTCAGTCTGTCTAGACGGAAACGCAGGAGTGAAAATTCGGAAACTTCTACTTGACCGATACGATTCACACTTGGCACGTGGGTCAAGACATGAAGACAATGCAATCTGAAACTAAATTTGACTTAATTGGATGCCTAATTAATTTTTTATGAATTAATTAAAATTTGGACCGAATTAGTAGGCATGTCTAGCCAACCACACCACACGCGTCATCACCTTCAATAGCTGCGCCATCACGTAATGGCTGCGTTCAAAAACCATTGCGCGCCTACTGAACGTGATGTTCAGTAGGCGCGCAATGGTTTTTAGTCATGTAACTCTATTGTAAATAAAGCATGTAAAGTACTGAAACAAAAATTCATAAAAAACGTTTTAATAACAAGCTTTTATGTAATGATGCACTAAAAAGTAGAAAATAAATTATAGACTACTATTTAAATAACTATAAAGAAAAGCGTGGGTGTCTTCCTTAACATTAGTAAAGGTATCCAATAGATACTAAAGTGACCCACGCTTTTCTTTATAGTTATTTAAATAGTAGTCTATAATTTATTTTCTACTTTTTAGTGCATCATTACATAAAAGCTTGTTATTAAAACGTTTTTAATGAATTTTTTTATCTTCTGTCCACGTATAAATATAGGTGGTTCCACTTGGGGGTTTATGTCTTAACAAAAAGTCAACAGGTAATGAGTTAAATAACTCTTCCATTTTTCTGAGGAAAAAGATAAACTAAGTTACTGATGTTAATTTATATCTGTGCTAACACAGAACACGAATATGAACAGAATGAAAAAAAAAGTGCGTCTGTAGATAATCTGAATAAGGTCCGCTATCGACAAAACTACCATTTAATAGCTAAAAGGGGTAATCTATAAATGACGTCACGCTTTTTTGACGATTTTTTACCCCCCCCCCCCCCACATCCGTCACACATCATCACAAAAATCCTGACCCCCCTCCCCCCACTAAAATGACACCTCAGCCGACAACCCCTCTCAAAATTGCAGTTGAATTTTTTAAAACATCGATATTTTCCCAAAATCTTGTCTAATTTCGATCGAAATATAGTATTTTAATAAATTCCTATTACAACTTATCAAAACAGTTTTCTAAAACGCAAAAAAAACGTCTACAATTCTTTTTCTAACATTGCTTTTTTATAGTGTGACTTAACAACATCTACCCCCCCCCCCCCCCTCATCACACTTCGTCATAAAATTACAGACCCCCCTTCCCCCCTACGAGTGTGACGTCATTTATGGAAGACCCCAAATAACACCACCACCAAAACAAAAAATTCAGATAAGTTCAAATTGGTTTTAAAAATATTTGAAGTAGGCCCATAGCTTTCGGCATAGCACAAGCAACTGATAATATCGGTGACGTCACTTTATTTTTTCCCCAAACAGCAAGTAAGAGAAAAAAACTGGGGGCATTGAGAGTTCATAAATGCTTAGGATAAGCAACACATAAGGGAGGGTTAATCTAGTCCTCACCTTCACATAGAGCAGTAATCGCATACTTAATTTGAGGTTATTTTTTCTGACTTATTTATGGAAATAATACATTTTTATATATAGGCCTATTTACAATTAATTAATAAATAATAATATAACATTTATAGGAAATTAGTGAAAAGGAACATTGGAAGGGAAAACACACAGTAAGTAGTTCTTACCTCAAGAATAGTTGTATCCAAATGATGTAGGCATTTCCTTGTGCTTATATTTATATGGTAAAAAAAGCTAGAAAAAAATCGTAGGCGGCAGCTATAACACAAAATTTCTATGCAACAATAGAAAATATGTTTGCGGCGGCAGCGGATCCGGTGATCTTCAAAGACGGTAAATCAGGCGACCTGGGCGTTCCTCACAAAAGACAGAAGTTGATCTATCGTCGGCGGTACTTCCGTCGGTTTCGAACAAGGTGGTATTCTAAGTCGACACAAAAGATGGGGGGGGGGGGGGGGGGGGGGAGTTGACAAATCCTCACTATGTCTAGCGACGGAAAAATAGGAAGTTTTAACAATGTAAACGAAACGTCTTTGAAGTCTGGACCAAATACCACTGAAAATCGGGTGCGTTAAATTTTTCGCAGAAATCTTCGCATTTAAACACCACCCAGCGTAAGTATCGGGTTGTGGTAAAATGCGAGACAAAAAGTCACGTGACCGACCGTTTTCGCGCCCTTCTTGCATTTTCCCGCCTCGCCATTTCGCAATTTCCCCACACCCCCTAGATAAAAGATAAACAAAAGATATACAAAACAATATTCACCAAACACGACTAAACAAAACACAACGGGACAAAACACGACTAAAAACACCCAATTTCAGTCTACGTCCAGGCTACAAGGAACAAATTCACTAAACTTTGACAATTTGATGGTGCTGCCTCAACCTTACAATTTTACATGCAACGGATGGTGCAGGCTCTGACACACAGCAACCTCCCTTCTTCCGTTCTCCGCATCAAAATTCAAATGTGTTCTACTTCTACCTTCCCTCACGGAACTGACTTTCACACACCTCGCACACTACACGTAAACAAATAGTTCCTAACTCACGGTTAACAAACAAAACGCCACGAAACATACGACAGAATTTTACAAAAAGACAATATAAACAGTGACAACAATCTAGACAAAATATATACAAACTAGCCGTAGACAGTGACAAACAGTAACACAGCGGCGCCATAATACGGGACTACACAACTAAAAAGTACGAACAGTTTACGACATGAAACGGAACGATACATTCGCCTTCTAAGTTACAAATAATAATAATTACAACGCTCCAGCCGTTCACATAAATCATAATGCTTTTAACGTCAATGGTATACAACCCACAACAAAAAAAATTCATAAAAAACGTTTTAATAACAAGCTTTTATGTAATGATGCACTAAAAAGTAGAAAAATTATAGACTACTATTTAAATAACTATAAAGAAAAGCGTGGGTCATTTTAGTATCTATTGGATACCTTTACTAATGTTAAGGAAGACACCCACGCTTTTCTTTATAGTTATTTAAATAGTAGTCTATAATTTATTTTCTACTTTTTAGTGCATCATTACATAAAAGCTTGTTATTAAAACGTTTTTTATGAATTTTTTTTCAGTACTTTACATGTTTTATTTACAATAGAGTTACATGACTAAAAACCATTGCGCGCCTACTGAACATCACGTTCAGTAGGCGCGCAATGGTTTTTGAACGCAGCCATTACGTGATGGCGCAGCTATTGAAGGTGATGACGCGTGTGGTGTGGTTGGCTAGACATGCCTACTAATTCGGTCCAAATTTTAATTAATTCATAAAAAATTAATTAGGCATCCAATTAAGTCAAATTTAGTTTCAGATTGCATTGTCTTCATGTCTTGACCCACGTGCCAACTGTGAATCGTATCGGTCAAGTAGAACTGTCCGAATTTTCACTCCTGCGTTTCCGTCTAGACAGACAGACAGAGGAAGTGAGTTAAATAAAAGCTTGTAATAAACATACAAAATTTTATAATTTTCAACAAATAAATCAAAATATTTCTGTAGAGATTTTTGTGACTTTTTTCAGATAAAATTTTTCCGTTGTGACTTTTTTTCATAGCAAAAATTGACTTTTTTCCGTTCACCGTAGCCTACACGTAGTATTTCCAAGTGATGTAACCTATTAGTATTTACATTTGTGCTAGTTTTTCTGTGTACTACGGTTCTACACAGTATATTTGGTCATCAGTAGTTTGTCTGTTTTCTAATGTCATACATCGCCGTTTATGGCTTGATGTTTATGTAAATAAAGCTTTATTATATATATATATATATATATATATATATATATATATACATCCATCAAATTTCTTTAGGTATTGAGAATACTCAAGTGAAGGTTTCTGGGGTAAAAATCTACAATACTACAAGTGAACATCAGAAGTGTCAATGCCACAGTCACTGAACATCAGAAGTGCTTACTACACTTTGACAAAATGCATTGCTTTTTTTGGTGGTGAAATCCATTTAATAAAATGTGTGGTACTGCTTTTCTCAGGTCCATCTGTTTTACTAGTATTAAGTATTACATAAAATTTGCTAGAGTCATAAATTTATTCATTTTTATAACTAAATCAGACATTTTTTGGCGCAAAAATGTGAACAGATAAATAAAAACAAAGTCATTGAAGCCTTTCTGTTTTTGTATTATTATTATGGCATTTAAAGCAAGAGGAAAACTGAAGAGCCATCAGCAGCACAGTTCTGCTGTTGAGCAGAGCATAGTAGCACTAGCAAACAAGGGACAGGCAAGTTGGTGTCAATCCAAGGAAAAAAATCCAGAACTCAAGCATAAGACAAATACACACAAACAACCATGCTGAAAATGGGTTCATCTATTAAGTTATTGAAATCTGCTTCAGATAATCAATTAACATATAAATTATCCAACTGTGCAAGAAATCAGTACACATTTTGAATGCTGATTTCATAATGTCAATGTAAGTGTCCTAGTGTTGAATTCAAATGAAAAAATGGAATGGCTTGATGAAGTGATGACAATACTGAAACTAGTCTTAATAAAGACACATTGTCAAAGACTCAATCAAAGGCAGCTATCAACATTTGTACACATTCATCAAGTTAAGCCAACAGAACAGGTATGAACAAGAATTTAATTCAAACAAACTCAGCTTTTAAATGAATAACATTATCAAATACACTTTCACCCATCAGCTTTTAAGGTGAAAATCTTACAAGAAGATCAATTAGACACATTGATAAAGTAAGTGACTATTCAAATTTAATTGCAACTATATTTTTTATAGAAGATAATGAACATGAGTAGAAAAATTTCATCCCATGAGTCCACTCTCCTCATTAGCTGTAAAAGTCAATAAAACACCAGAACTAAAAGATGAGTTTTAAAAACTTGTATGGACATTTATTATAATAGAGTTTGGCAAGTATTTAAACAAAAATTCAATAAGTTGAGTCAATTAAAAAAAAACCAAATAACATTCCAATGACATCATCACATAAGAATTTTTTTTCTTTCTAAATGCCAATGTAGGAGCAATTGTTTTATTTTCCAGGAAAGGAAATCAACTAGGCAATTCATCATCATCAAAGTTTTGTGACAATAAAAAGTTAGCAGCTAAATCTTCATTCTTATCACATGCGAAGTAAGCTTGAATGCACATGGCTTCCGAGAACCCTAATGCTTTTAACTGGAAAAAACAACAACAAAAAAAGTCAAGTTTTTATCACAAGCTTTATCAAGGGAAAAAGCTTGAGCAGGTTAGACAAAAAGTTAGTGTAATGAGAGCAGAGTTTCTTCCAGGCATCTCTTCGGGGGGGCGAAGCCCCCCCGAAAAATTTTTACCGCCCCCCCGAACGAAATGAAATTTATATCATTTATATAGAAAATATATACTTTTAACAGTGTCCGCCCCCCCGAAGAAAGTTTACCGCCCCCCCGAAGATTTCAAGTGCCCCCCCGGAGAAAAAAGTCTGGAAGAAACACTGAATGAGAGAGGTTTAAGATATTGCTAAAACAAAAAAACTGATTATGAACTAACACAAAGCAAGATATAAGAGAACCAATCATTTTAGTAAGGAGGAAATTATGTCACTTATGAACCTTAAAATTAAAATAGGTAACATGAGATTTTTTTCAATGGATGTTGGAAAAATAAACATTTTTAAATAAAAATGAAAATGTAACATTACTCAGTAATAATGTAAAGAATACCATGTGATGACTGAAAACATTGGTTGGACATGCAGCAATTAGGTGAATGTTGTGACAAAATATAAATGTGTTTCTTTAGCTTAGTTTTAAAGATTTGTTTATAATTTTTTTAGAAATTGTAAAAGTAAACAAACTTTTGGTATGAACAGCCTTGTCCATTAAGACTAAAACTAAAACAAAGCAAAAAACTAACCCTGTCAATAGCTTGCTTTTCTTCAGGTGTAACAGAGATGTAACCAGAGCCAGGTGGGGGGGTTGTGCCCCCAGCTCCTTGACCTACATCTTGCTCTGATCCATCATCAGGTTCATTTAACATTTGCACAAACCGTTCCTGGTTTTGACTGATCATCTGAAAAACAATAAGCATAGTAAATCCTGAAAGCTTAGAGTAGAACTTTCTACATAGAAGAACTTTGTACACAATGCTTCTCAATACAAACCAATCATGCAATTAATACATCAATGCCTTAGAACAAGTTTCCACAAGAACAAAGTAATCTCCTGTTCCTACAGTTGGCCATTCTAGATCTTCACACAACTACTTCCACCTTAAGCACCACAAAACCCTCACACAATGATATAATGATAACATAGATTTTTTTCATTAGAAAATATAAAATATATTTGATACACATTTCTTCCACTTTTCATGGAAATATTTATAGCTGACATATTAGCATAGGGCTGATACTTATCCCCACTTCAGGCCTTTGTTCTACTCAACATCAGCATGAGGTTACTGAATGAGATTTATTCAGAAGCTTCCGTGCTACACAATGGAGCATATCACAGTGACATGACTTCTTATAAGCAGTGGAAATCTATTACAGGTGTTGTTGCTACTCCCCCATTTTATAATGAAGCAATAACTAGACATTGACTAATGATTCTACCTGTAACAGTGGGGGGTTATTCTGACCAATCTGCTGCAGTAGAGGGGGCAGAAGGTGTGGATTTTCTTGAATAGCTTGCCTCATCATTTGAAACTGTGGTTGGGATCTCAGGAAGGCCAAAGGGTCTTCTGAAAGCAAGGGGAGAAATCATCAATTACCAGAACAAAACATAGCCACCTTTTCAGTAAAACAAATTCTCTCAACAGCCAATAATGGTAATATACATTTGTTTGACCCACACAATATAAATACAAACAGAAACAATTCTCTGTAAGAAGCTTGAAACTAAAATTTGAATCAACCTAGGTCTAGGGTTAGGTAAGTAACAAGTCAAAAGCCCACCTAAGAGGAGGGGGTGGAGGTGGAGGAGAGGGCAGTGACTAATTTTCTCATGCTATTTACTTTAAAATAAATAATTGGGCTCTAATAAATCTAATAAACCAAATTATATAGTCTTCTTAGTTTGTTAGCCTTACAATAAGCAGGGTTCGTACTGCTTTTTGAAAATGAAATTCCAGACTTTTTCCAGACATTTTCCAGACTTTTTTGGAAAAATTCCAGACTTTAGACAGATAATGTGTGAATAATTTTTTTAAAATGATGCACTATTTGTACTGTCATTTTAATTACTTATACTAAATTGACATTTATTTTAGGCAATTGAGCTATATTCATAGTGAACTTTCTCTAGCCAAATTGACAGAAAATCACTTTTTCTTAAGTTTGCCTACTCCACCCTACCTAAAATTGTAACAATTGAAAAATTGATTAAAATGATGAAACTATTGTTTCCAACATTAGACTTATGTAATCTGTTCCTGATCTAATTGCTTATGTTTTCAATTAAACTATCATTAAAATGGTATTGTATAATAGTGAGAGTTAATTACTTTAAACAATAATAATGTAATGTATTAATTTAGGTCTGCTCTTGTTAAGTAGCCTCATATAGGCTACGTGTAAAGAAAAAAAGTTGGAGCAAAAAAAAAAATTAGTAATAGCTGAGAAACGGGTCTGCTATAAAAAAAATTGCCGGTATCCTTTCCTCCCATCCCCCCCCCCCCCCCTCACATACACACGACACGATGAAGGGTTCACTCTGAGGTCATAGTAGCCTAGACTTCAGTATGCCTGTTTAATACGTCATAACATGAACTGTGCTGTGACTTATACCCCCTCCCCTCCTTACCAGGCAGTACCCACTACGCACTTGGGTTCACGGTGAGTTCACACAAGTGACCGTGGTTACAAGGAGGGGCGGGGTAGTTTAACTTTAATCGTCAGCGTTTGCAATGATTTCAAAAACAGTTTAATGGAAGGTGAATTAAAATTAAAGGGGTCATCCTTTATGACGTACACATGGAGGGGGGAAGGGGTCGGAAGATTTTGTGTCTACATTCTAAAACAAATATAAAACTTGTATCTTGCGAGTAGAAAGTAAAATTAAGACGACTGTGCTGGTGTTTAAAAAACCACCACAGCGTGTAAATAAAACACGGTATTTATATCTGCCCTAACATTATTGCAAGAGCGAGTGTGACGTCATTTATGGACAACTCCTAAATAAAAATAGTACCTCTTTGATAAGCTGAAGCAAACAAAAATACAGGTATGAACCCTAGGAGGCCTTGCGACTTATTAATCTTAAAAATGTTAATATAAATCCATAGTAAGTCAACGCGTGCGGACAGAGGGCGGAGGGAGTGGGGAAGGGGGGGGGGGTCTAAAATCCGAAAAATTGTATGTCATAAATGGATGACGCCTTACAGACTGATAAATTATATCTAAAATACCACTCACACATCTCCCCCATAACTTTTGTTATGACTGCCTGCATGCAAACTCAAACGATGAAAAAATAGCGGGTAAAATCGAGAGCCTAACAATTCTGAGGGCGATCATTCTTTCATTAAATGACAATTGTAAGTACTTGTAACACATTCACACGGTCAGTCGTGCCACAAAATATCTCTTCCCTCCCTTCCCCTCTTCTCCCAATGACGTAGTAACTGAGCATTTTTTTCTGCGAACCAGCGAAAAAACGCCACAACATAGTGTAAACCCGCGCGATAGCGCGGGGAAAAAATTGGACTAAAGTCACTTAAAAATCGCAATTTTCTAAGTTGGAAAATATGGACTACGAAGTTTTGTTTCTAAAACTAGATTCCAGACTTTTTCCAGACTTTTAAAAAATCCTGCCCAAAAACTAGCGATTTTCCAGACTTTTTTAAGTCTTAAATTCACTTTTCTAAATTCAAGACTTTTTCCAGACTTTCCAGACTGCGTACGAACCCTGAATAAGCCTCTTTTAACCTTCATCATACAATCCATGCTTCCAAATGTGTCAAACCCATGACAATACTTCATACAATCCATGCCTCCAAATGTGTCAAACCCATGACAATACTTCATCATACAATCCATGCCTCCAAATGTGTCAAACCCATGACAATACTTCATCATACAATCCATGCCTCCAAATGTGTCAAACCCATGACAATACTTCATCATACAATCCATGCCTCCAAATGTGTCAAACCCATGACAATACTTCATACAATCCATGCCTCCAAATGTGTCAAACCCATGACAATACTTCATCATACAATCCATGCCTCCAAATGTGTCAAACCCATGACAATACTTCATACAATCCATGCCTCCAAATGTGTCAAACCCATGACAATACTTCATCATACAATCCATGCCTCCAAATGTGTCAAACCCATGACAATGTAAGTTTTCATAAACTTAAAATGACCTAGATCTATATTATAATTATAGTACTGGCAGAACTGAGTCAGCTGAGCTTTTGTGGTCATGTGTCATTGGCCTCATCTTCAAATCTACCACATCTGACTGGGAAAGATGAATTGCAAATCTACCACATCTGACTGGGAAAGATGAATTGCAAATCTACCACATCTGACAGGGAAAGATGAATTGAAAATCTACCACATCTGACAGGGAAAGATGAATTGCAAATCTACCACATCTGACAGGGAAAGATGAATTGCAAATCTACCTCATCTGACAGGGAAAGATGAATTGCAAATCTACCACATCTGACAGGGAAAGATGAATTGCAAATCTACCTCATCTGACTGGGAAAGATGAATTGAGCATAGCTAAACAGTAAAACTGCTGACAATTTGTACCTGCTTACTGCATAAAAAGAACCTACCGCTGGTTTGAGAAGATCCAGTGTTCTCAGAAGTTGGGTTGGATGCCATAGAAACATTGGACTCACTTCCTTCTGTTGGACGACTAGGTTGGTTGCCTTCATCAGCTCCATGGGGGATTCCCTACAAATAAAGATCAATCACTTGAAAACTGCTAAACTAGTTGGGCTACTTATTGACATAGCTGTAGTTTAATTAATAGAATTAATAATTAAGATATATCTGTAGGTAAACTGACAGAAGAATTTTAAATATAGATATTATTTTGATTAAACACTGGACAAATCTATGAACCCAATAGAGCAGGATGTATATTTTAAAGAGGAACATTCACACACATTTTTATGGTGCTGATTGCAATCAAATATTTTTCCGTGGACAATTAGTGTTATTTGCTCATTCAATGATTCATTTCACAAATTTTCTATAGTCAATTTAGATCAAAGGATTCTTTCAGAGATGCGATCAGCCCATGGGTAAAATAGACCATTTTTAGGGATAGACACAATCTGATTTATGCAACTCAGTGAATCCCAGGTGCACCCTAACATCATTGTTGTACTAAGTGATAGTTTAATAGAACATTAAATTAATACTAAAAGTAGTTTTAATTGCATTTTTCTCTTATAAACAGCTTTAGTTGATTTTAACAAAGCTGAAAATGAAAACATTTTTTTCCACAGTTAAACTATACCATTATAATCTAATTGTACTCTAGTTTCAACAGACCTAAATAGTGTTTGGAGATAATAATTAAAAAGAACAAAATATTTAAAAAAAAAAACAACATTTTAATAATAGCCACATCACTGCTTAGGTATTACAATAGCTTCTAAGTAAATTGACCAATACCCCCCCCCCCCCCCCAAACGAGACATGGTCGAGGGGGTCTTGGTGAGTTCACTTTAACTGAAAGCAGCAGGAAATGGGAATACTGGTGGTTTAATGAACACTGAGCTAAACATAGGTAGATAAGTATACCTAGACTTAAAGGCAAGCAAGATTACAGACCCCCCCCCCCCCCCTTCCCAGGCTCAGGAGATATTCATTAGCTTTAAAGAATGACAACAGTTTAGATTACATCTTCCCTTTTTCTTCTACAATTATTTAACTAAGATATCAGCAGGATAATTAGGACTGAGAATTCAAATTCTTAAAAATTCAGCAATCCACCTAAATTAGGACATCCCTGTTTTTTGTTTTCTACATGTCATTATCATTCATTCCTTTGAGATTTGTGTACTTAGCAAAATCATCTCTGGGTAAAAGGTAACTTATTGTTAAATAATGTCTAGGCAGGGGGGAATTGAATGTAAAATCCTTTGCAGGGCTGAGAGAATGAAGGTAAAAAGTCAGTATTGTAAGGGTTAAAAAGCACTAGGAAAAATTGAGTGAAATATGCATGCCACAGCTACAGCAGCATAGCTTTTAAAACAAACAGGTCTCATACAACAAATCACATAGCAGAAAATAGTGTGGGAAAAGGGAAAAACTCCAACAATGTTGTTCCTTTAGCATTCTTCAGTTTATGGGGCATAATATTATTATCTCCAACTATTGCCAAGCAAGAAGCCCTGCACAGCTGAAGAACAGTCCAGTTCTTCCATTCCAGGTTAGTCAACCAACAGAAAGTCCAATTCAGGTCTGGGCTACACCAAGAACACTGTATAAAATTAACAGTGATCCCATCTTGATCTCATCCCATCAAGGCCTCCTCAACAAACATGATACTTGATATTAGTCCCTGTTTTAGTATTTTCACATACATAGGAGTAAATTGTCTTTTTTTTAATTGAATGATTTAAAAACAAACCCCCTCAATCAAAGATAAATTAAATGACATGTCTATAGAACATTGTTTTTCATAGATTTAAAAACAAACCCACTCAATCTAAGAAATAATTAAATGACGCCTATAGAAATTTTTTTTTCATTTTTGAAAATGAAATTCCAGACTTTTCCAAAAAATTCCACTTTATAACAGATAATGCTTTAGCTACTCATTTATAAAATGATGCAAAATTTGTACTCTTAATTTCTTACAGTATAATGACATATATTTTAGGCAATTTAGCTAATGTTTATAATGAACTTTCTCTAGGCAAATAGACAGATAATAACTTTACTAAGGCTGCCTACCCCCAAAATTTTAATAGTTAAAATAATTATTTAAAAGGATGAAACTAATTTGTTTCCAACATTAAACTTATGTAATCTGTTCATGATCTAATTGACTTATTCAAACTAGATAGAGTAAATAATGTTTTGGAAAAAATAGGCTACTTGAAAAGAAAAACTGGGGAAAAAATACAAAATTCTGCAGGCCATGTAACAACATGATTTCTTGTTTATGCTTATAGCTGAAAAACTTAAGTCTAAAATAAAAAATTGCCTGGATTTCCCCACCCCCAACAAGACATGGTGAAGGGGTCATTATGAGGTCATAGTAGTCCAGATTTTAGTAGACCTGTTAAATACTTCATGGCATGAACTGTGTTGTGACTTCCACCTACCCCCCCCCCAGCAGTAACAACTATGTACTTGGGGTCATGGTGAGTTGACGTAAGTGACTAGTCACATGGAGGGGTGGGTTAGTCTAGCCCTGTTTGTCAGCATTAATAAAGATTTAAAAAAAAGTTGAATGAAAAATGGATTAAAAGTAAATGGATAAATTATACTACCACTGACACGCCTCCCCCATAATTGTTTGTTATGACTGCCTGCCTACAAACTTAATGAAAAATAGAGGGTAAACTCGAGAGCCTAACATTTCTGAGTGCGATAATTCTTTCATTGAATGACAATTTTAAATTCTCGCAACACATTCACAAGGTCAGACGCACAACAAAATATCTCTTCCCTCCCCCTTCCCCTCCGGATAAATGTGGACTGTGGACAAGTTTTGTTTCTAACTAGATTCCAGACTTATTTCAGGCTTTTTCCAGACTTTAAAAAACTCCAGCCCAAAAACTAGCAATTTTCCAATCTGAAATTCACTTTTCTAAATTCCAGACTAAAACAGGCCGCCAAAATAAATGATATTTTTGAGAGAAAAGAAATTTATCAGAGTGAAGCTAAAGAAGATTAGTCTTCTATCCTGAATTCTACTGCTTGGAAAATGGCCTAAAAAATTACCCCAAGTAAATATTCTACAGCTCTATCTGGATTATTAAAGCTGGCACGAAGAGCTCGGACAACATTTTCTCTCTCAAAACCCATCATCATTAGTTGCTGCACCATGTTTTCATAAGCCTGACCAGTAACTAGATTACTCTCAGCATATTGCAAACTGTCTCCTCTAACTTCACCAGTTGCTGTCGATGCACCTGTAATTGTTTCTGGGGTCGGTGCAGAGCTAGAAGAAATAAAGAAAGAAATCTTGCCTATTCATATATATGTATTATATATATATATATATATATATTTATTTATTTATTTATTTATATATTTATATATATATGTTACAGTCAAAGCCCGAAGTGCGGCCAAAGCGCGGATTGGCCGGCCAATGCCGGCTCTCTTGGCCAAAGCCCAAATAACTTAGCAATAAGAGCGTATTTCGTACATTAACCGGCCAATGCGCGCACTAGCCAAGACGTACTGGCCAAAGTCCGAAACGCTTAAAAATGACAGAGTATTTTGTACATTGACTGGCCAATGCGCGCACTGGCCGGGATGTCCTGGCTAATGTTCTATCTAGACTAAGTTGTGATCGCGTTTTCATTATTCTGGGGGCGGTTTCATTGTAACGTATTGTTTAGCTCTTGTTTGTATAGCATTCTATATGCAAGGCGACATGGAACAAAAGGGCCATCAGACCATGAGACAGACATAGCAGATGGCTGTCAAAAGAAAAAAAATGTAAATCCATGTTAGTTTCCATATATGGGCTACAACTGTATGTGATAGCCTCCTCCATGATGACAAGGTGAGACAATCATCAAAGAACAAAATCAAAGACAGTCGGCATCACCGACCACGTGCAACAAGACGGAACGTTCAAAAGACTTTGCCGCGTTCCTTGTAAGTTGAACAATAGTGTCCAAGCGACTTGAGATGGCGTGGGCGTCAGAAACCATATTTCCCCAACTAAAGGGGAATACCAAATAAAGCAGACCCATCACCGCGCCTTGACTGGACTGCATGATAAATATCTTCACGACTATTGATGCCCCAAGTGTGCTTCAATCAGATAATGGAAGAGAATTTGTGAATCAAGTTATTTCGGAAATAAAGAACATGTGGCCTGAACTTAAACTAGTTCACAGAAAACCAAGGTATAGCCAAAGCCAAGGTTCAGTCGAACGTGCCAACCAAGATGTTCAAAACATGATGACATAGATGCAAACAAATGAATCAGCTCATTGGGTTGAGAGTCTCAAATTCATTCAATTTATGAAAAATCGTTCTTTTCATCAAGGAATCCAACAATTGCCATACGAAGCCTTGTTTGGATGCAAAGCAAAAGTGGGACTTAGCACTTCAAATCTACCAAGAGAGGTTCTCGATAAAATAGTTACTGAGGAAGATCTTGAGAACATTGAACAAGAAATGGAGGTTGCCATAAATGCAACGACATCCTCAGCCAACACATCTGCTGCCGTGGCGGAACGTCCAGACCAGCTGCGTAACAATAATAAGGCCAGCATATTCTGTGTAGTTTGTAAAAATTTTTGTAGTGCAGCCCATTCTTGTGGATCCTGTGACAACGATGTCCATGCTATTTGTGGAATACCCAATGAAGCAGACGAATGGTATTGAGGGAACATTACCTGCAGATTGTGTCACAACAAACAAGACATCATGGAACACAGGTCAGCAGCTTATACTGGCTTGCAAACTCAAGGTGCTAAGATGCTTAAAACATCAAATACAAAATTTAAAGATGGTGAAGTGGGTGACAATGTACGCATCCGCGGTCCAGATGTTGACAGAGGTTGCGGTGATCCCCGAAGTGTGATTGCAGTTGTCATGAGCGTCGAGGGCGGTTTCTAAAAATTAGGAACGGAACATGGTGTTCTAAAACAACTGTATGCTAGAAGTGAGTTTTCAATTCTTCACGAAAAACTGCTCTTATTGTCGTCAGTTGGCACTGAGGAAAAATCACTACGAACCATCGCATCTTCACAAGGGGCCAAGGCTACACTTGATGTAATTGCACAACTAAGTGCTCAACAAATTGCTGCAAGTGTAAAAATAACAAGCTGCTATGTAATTCTAAATGCCATAAATTTTCAACTTGTTGTAACAAATGATGATATTGATAGATTGAGACTATAGTACAATAAACAATTTGAATGTTTCTGTCATTTACTTTAATTAATAATCAATAAAGACTTAATTTCATGATCCTTACGGCATTAAAAAAACCCAAAATCTGCTCATGATCTTCTAATTCGGACTTTGGCCGGTCGTCCCTAGCCAGATGATCTTCTAATTAAGACCTTGGCCGGTCCACGCGGACCTATGGGAGGCGATATTGGCTTTGACCGTAATATATATATATATATATATATATATATATATATATATATATATATATACTAGCTGCATACAGGTGCTCCGCCATGGTGATTCTTTTTAAATGTACTAATACCAACTTATCCATAGTCTACTGCATTCACTTAAACAAACTTAGGCGCTGTAGCACTCACAGGAAAGGCTGGGGCGTCAAACAGCACCCTATCCGGGTGCTCGAGGACACCCTGGTTTTGATTTAGTGAACCACTATAGTAACCCTTTTTTAAGATATATATGTATATAATATACATATATATATATATATCTATATCTATATATATATTATATATATATATATATATATATATATATATATATATATATATATATATATATATATATATATATTAATATATCTGTATATATACCTTACCTAATTATATATCTGTCTCTCTCTTTCTCTTTATATATATATATATATCTATCTATCTGTATCTATATATCCATCTATCCCTATATATATATCTGTATATATATATCTATGTATATACTTTTATATATATATATCTTGATTTATATATGTATATATCTATACATATCAATATATCTATATCAATATATCTCTATCTTTATCTATATCTATCTGTCTGCCTGTCTGTCTATCTATCTATCTATCTATAGGCCTATATATACATATATCTATTTTATTTATCTATAGATATATAATCAGATTGGATTAAATGGACAATCATGCACCCTCTGACACACAAACAGCAAGTCGATTAAGAGGCTAATAACCCAATACTGGCTAGCGCAGTGCTGGTTTATGTTTTTTATTTCATGTGTTAGTCTAAAAAAGGCTGCCTGACTTTAAAAGCACTTACTTATTCTTACTAATATAAATAATACTAATACTAAAAATGTGTTATCTATCTGTCTTGCCTATCGATCTATCTATCTATCTGTTTGTCTGTCTGTCTGTCTATCTATCTATCTAATCATCTATCTATCTATCTAGTCATCTATCTATCTATCTAGTCACCTATTTATCTATATATATACATATATCTATATATATATATACCTATATATATATATATACATATACCTATATATATATATACATATACCTATATATATATATATACATATATATATATATATATACATATATCTATATATATACATATCTATCTCTATTAGGGGTCTAATAACAGGCCAGCGGGCCGAATGCGGCCTGCTAGGCCCTCTCGTGCGGCCCGTGGAGATCTTTTTGTCCACGAAAAGAAAAGATTGGTGGAAGTGTCTAAGGAATTTTGCGCAGAAAAGTCACAACAATTTGAACAAGTAGCTTTCGGTGCAAATGCCATTGCCCGCTGTGTTGCAGACACTCGTATGCTTGTTTTCATTAGAGGTGTGGATGAAGACATGAACATAAGACAAGAGCTGGCTTCCCTACATCAATGTATGGCACTGTTACCTGAGAGGATATATTCAATGAGTTGAATTTAAGCCTATACTTATTTTCAAGTTTTACCGGAATTATTTTTTTTCCACTCATTTTTTTCAGTACCCCTGTGGCTAAACGACCAACATCTTTTTACAGTTAATTTAAACTCCACACTTTATTAATAAAAATTTTAAGGAATTATTTATTTATTGAAGAAAGATAATAAGTAAATTACTTAGTTTTAAAGAAGAAAAAAAAGAGTTGAATTTTTCGTGCAAAAATTATGCTTCTGTCAGGAAAATTAATAATAAGAATTACTTTTCATGAGTTCTTATTCATAGAAAGCGAAAGTATGTCCATTTTTCTACAAAAATCATGGATCGGATTAGCCTGAGTGTAAATACTTTAATTTTGGTTAATTTTATAATGCGGCGACTTAAGCATATAGACGCGGCTGCTGAACAGCATTCCACAGTGTTAAAAAAATGCAGTTTTTCGAGTTGTTTTACAAAAAAAATTCCATAAAATACAAAATCAATCTAACGAGAAAACTACAAGAAGTAAATACAACGAAAAATGGCCGCTCTAGCGGTATCATGACCTAGATTTACGATTAAAAACCTGGATTCCGAAAAATAACGAATTAAATAGAGAACAGTTTATCGGACCTTGGGAGCGTCGTTACGGTATGGCAGGCCGGTGGACCGACCGCTGGGAGCGTCGTTACGGACTTAAAGAGTTATAACATGGACTGGACTAACCTCAGTTGCCTGAGTGTTGGTGGAGGAAAAAAACATGAGTGGCATAAAGAAAGGCTTGTTTGGACAAGTGAAGCACATGCGTAATGAGAAAAACTTCCTACAACCAATGTTCCTGCACTGTATTGTTCACCAGCAAACTTACTGTAATACATATGTGGACAATAGCAGTGTACTGAAAAAGTTAAGAGACATGTTGAAAGATACAGACACAGAATTGCAAGATTTACCATATTTCACAGCAGTAAGGTGGCTAAGTTGCCAGAAAGTTCTGAACAGAGTATTTAAGATAAGAAAGGAAATAAGGGATTTCCTGAAAAGTAAAGGCAAGCCACAGCCATTAATGTCTGATGAAGAATGGGTATGGAAAATGGCCTTTGCTGCAGATATAACTAGTCATTTAAATTTTCTGAACCTAAAACTACAAGGAGAGGAAAATTTAGTTTCTGATCTATACACCCACCTAAAGGCCTACAGATCCAAACTTGTAATGTTTTTGAAACAAATACAGGCCAGCAACTTGACGCACTTTCAGCAGTGCAAGGTCTTCATGGCTGAAGAAAAAGATGAGTTCCCCACGTCATTTGCATGCGAGATCATCAAAGCCCTTCAGCTGCAGCTTCAGCAGCTGTTTTCTGACTAGGATTCAAAGGCAAAAGAAGTGAGTGTTTCAAAACCATTTGAAACAAATGTGGCCAGTTGCCCAGATGAACTGCAGCTGGAGGTTATTGGGTTGCAAGCAAATGACCTCCTCATGGACAAGTTCAAAAAAGGACTGGTGGCTTTTTACAAGACTTTGCCAGATGAAGACTTTCTTAAAGTCAAAATTTTGCACCTAGGTACCTTTCAATTTTTGGAACAACATACTTGTGTGAACAAACATTTTCAAGAATAAAATACGTTAAGAACAATTTGAGAACAAACTTGGACCTTGAGTGTGTTGTTGGCCCCCAAACTGCTATTTATAGTTAATGCGGCCCTCTCGCTGAAAAGTTTGGAGACCCCTGATCTATAGATATATATAGTTATATTTGTAACAATAAGTAAGTGCTTTTTAAATCAGGCAGCCTTTTTTAGACTTACTCATGTAATAAAACACATAAACCAGCATTGTACTAGCCAGTATTGGGTTATTAGCCTCTTAATCGACTTGTTTCTCTGTGTGTGTGTGTGTATGTGTGGGGGTGGGGGTGCATGATTTTCTATTTAATCCAATCTGATTATCTTTTTATCTGATTATCTATCCTTCCCATCATCCATCCATACTTCAAGTGAAACTATCCTCACCTAGGAGCAGGAGTACTAGTTGTTTCACCTGACTTCTCACTGGGTGCTGCTACAGAAGTCTGTAAAGCTGCTGCTGCACCTGCTCCTGGAGCTTCTGATGAAGCTGGAGTCTCTACAGCTTTTACAGATACTGTGGCTGGCTTGGGCTGAGAAAAAATGTTTTGAATTTTGGGACCTTTGTTGGAATGTTAGTCATGGGGCTTGAAATTAATATTTATTTGGGATAAAAAAAGAGAAAAGAGAAAAGAAAACTACGATTCTGACAGACCAAAAAAAAAAACCATGTTATTACCTTAGTCACCATTACTACTACAAAGTTTTTTTCTTCAATTCTGTACTCTTCCACCTTCTTTGCATCATCTAAAATTTTTCCTGGAAATAATTAATTAAGGAAGGTTCAACCAAATAATCTTCTAAACTTATTTATTTTAGAGTGTAGGCATCTTGTAGATTTAGATATATGAAATTGATATCTAAATTTAGCCCAAGCAGCATTGATAGAAAAAATTAAATCACAAATGGGCTAATTTACCAAAAACTAATGACACTTCAAAATTTTTTTTAAATGAGCCATCAAGAGCAGATTAAAATCCTTTACAATTTCACTTTACTCAACTCAGTAATTACTACTTAATGAGGTGGACTTTTGGTCGCTATCGTGATGAGACACAGCGTTCAGATGTGGTGTTTAGCTGGTGTGGTTTGTGAGATGCAGGCTTCAGATATAGTGCAGGTATGTGACCAGACCATGGAAAAAAAATTGTAAGCTAAGTGTGGTACGGGATTAAAAATAGGAATGTATAGAGGTCATTTCCATTTTTCTTCAGAACTTTTAAAACTTTAAAAAATCAGCAACGATAAAAAGTTGACAAAAAATTTGGAGAGATTTAGCGTGGGAAAACTGCAGGTCAAACAGAAAAATAAAGGGTCATGGTGCGATGCCATTAAATGTGAAATCAGTAGACCAATAGCATACATCATAATAGAAACAGGAACACAGCTATTTGAAACTGTGATATCAATTTTTTCACCCAAGCAAGCAGTATCAAACATAAATTCAGGTTCACAGTGAGTTCACTTAAGCATTGGCATCTGTGACCACTGAGAGCGAGGGGCTGGTTTGTCAAGTCCTCATATTTATCCTTTACAGGAAATTTCATAATCAATTTTAGGTTCCGAAATTAAACGGAAACTGAAAAAGTAGAGGTGGTAGCTCTAAAAACAGAGTGAATTTAAAATACCAGTAGATAAATTAAAGCTAGACTAAAGCATATGCTGTAATTAACAGTAAAGAAACCGAGCTAGGGAGATCTTTTCGTTTAAGAACTCAGCCAAAATATGGAAAAATCACTATCCTAAAATATAGAATTGTCAGACCTATAAATCATCCAATAGAAAATTTTCTCCCCTGAAAATTTTTTAAAGCATATGAAACAAAAATAGCTTTAAAAGTGTCTTGAGAAAATGTATATATTCTTCACCTGCATAGATAAGTTTCTGCCCTGCTGCTGGATATTCTTTTCCTTTTTCTGCTTCAATTTTTTCTTTTAGTTCCTTCACCTTATGAAGTACAAAATGAAATAAATTAAAGTTAATTAAGTGAAGTAAGTTCTAATAAAATTGAAATTCTAAAATGTACGCAATTTTATATCTTAATTATAATAACACTGAAATAAGACTTCCATTCTGAAAAATGAAACTTGTTTCCAATGCTGTATTATGATGAATGACCGTAACAACTTCAATGACCTAACGATGCTAAAAAAAAATGGCATTCCGTTGACATAAAAATGGCTGCCCACATTTAGCTTTGCTTTAAAATTCCTCATATCCCTCTGTGTGGTAGCTAGATGCATATAATTATTTTTATTTTTTTTATTAAAATTAGATATGATAGAAGACATAAAATGCTTCAAAATTATACAAAATACAAGACTGCAGCTCAAATACAAGCAGGGATGTTGAATTCTAAAAATGTATTTTTCAGTCATTTTGCTCCAACACTTATTAAGGACAATGGGAATTCCCCAAAAGGAGGTTTATTTAGTGGCTGTTTTTATTAAAATCAGAACAATCATTTGATGTTTCCCCAAAGAATATAATTATTGAAAGTAAAATGAAAGTAGTGATATGTCTAGAATATAATATTAGTATGCATTTGTATTGTAAGTAGAAAAAAAATGTGTTCCACTTTGACTTCATATGTCTACATACATAAATCAATCCCATACCTCCACCCGGCTTTTCTTGGTCTTATGAAAAGATGCCTATGTCATGAAGTGACAGTTTCATAAACCACCAGGCTTTCTTGGTAAGCCATATATGGTTGTAAGATCTACTAGGTTTTTTAGCGCAATTTCCATACGGACAATTGCGATTATTAACTCGTCATTTATGGATGGATGGATGGATGGATGAATGAATGGATGGATGGATGGATGTGTGTCCGCAGCTTTAAGTGGTATCTCCTCAACGAAGCAATATCGAGGAGCAGTTCCAAAAGCAAATATGTTAAGCAAGTTCCAAGGATGATTGTGGGCAAAAAAAATTCCCGGAATTCCTTCCTGGATTTCCCGGAAAAGCAAAAAAAAAACCTCGAACAAATGCAGTTTTTGGTCCATATCTCGGCAACCAGACCCCACTTAGCGACTTGAAACATTTACAAATCGATTCCTGCCATAATTTAGAACAATATTGCAGAAGAAAGTTTTCAAAAATATCCTTTCGTTCTGTCACAAAAAATTAATTAAGAATTTTTAAACTGAGCATTGTGTAGGCCTAGGATGATATTTTTAATTTAAACTGAGCATCGTGTAGGTTTTTAGCGAAAAAAAATATCCTTTCGTTCGGTCACAAAAAATTAAAAATTGTTATGGATAACATAAGGAAATTGCGCTTAAATTGTCACTAGACTTTTTATTAACTTGTTTTTTAATAAAAAAAGTCTACACCCCATCATCACATAAATCCAGAATTCACCACCTCTACAGTCATTTATGGATGACCCCTTAGTTCTGAAACTGTTCAATTAATTTTAATGACTAATTAAACAATTAATTTAATTAAAAAATAGTTGTATTATCGTCAAAGTGCAAAGTATCTGGAAAGTTTTAACGAAATCGCTGCAATAGAAGTGGGTCAAAATTGAGTTACAAAATTTGCCACAAACCCACAAACAAACGTTGTGAACTAAATAAATGCTTGTAAATAATTAACATATTTGGCTATATATGAATTTTGTTGCTATTAAGGAATTCTAAAAAGTAAAAATAAATTGCACCAGACAATTACATGACAAGCAAAATGCAAGATGACTACACTCACTCAACTGAAAAATATATTTACATATCAATGCTGAGGTCTAAAAACTCACAATATTAACAGTACAATTTCACAGAAGTGTCATCAAAGAATACACTGATTTATACTAATATATATCATATAACTATAATAATTAACTTTACAAAATATAACAGTTTATACTATTTATAGCCTTTCTATAAATTCTTAAAAATAAAAATCGCCTTTTCCCTACTCCCTGCATGCTCAAGACTAATCTTTTCATGCTTTAATTGGTTTATATCAACGTGTTATAGATCATTCTTTAAAATGTAAAGGTTTTATTTCAGTATTATTTCAGGCGAAGAAATCACAGATTAAATAGCTTTTTTTAACATTCCCACAGCAAGTTCAAAGTAAGTTCAAATAAGCCTTAAAAAATCATGTGTGGCCATGATCAAGATGTCCACTTGATGTAGGGTAGATGAAATGAGAGACGCATTCAGAAATGCTTAGCTTAAATGGTACCCTGCTATAAAAATAACTGTCTATTGGGGGTGTAGGACAAAAGGCCGACATCCAAAAGGCTGACAGCCATAAGGCAGACACCCAAAAGGCCGACAGACCATAAGGCCGACAAGCATAAAAAATTCTAATATCGCAAAATATGTGTTTCTGCACAGCTCATATCTTGACAACCATCGAAATAAGGCATGAAATAAGGTGAAACGTTCAAGAGAAGAGACAATGCTAGTTGCTATCCTTATTTATAAGGTGAACCATCGGTTCCAAGCGACTGAAGATTACAGGAGTGTCTTAAACACAAAGGATCAACACCTAAATATTGCGAAATGTGGTCACTACTGTCTTTTATAGCTCCTTCTATGTCAACGAGGTGAGACAATCATCAAAGAACCAAGTCAAAAGCCGTCCCATCATCGCCCACATACAATAAGGCGGAACGCCAGGAGACAATGCTAGACAATGGATATTGCTTGTTAAGCCATCAAAAAAACGAAAATATTTACAGAAAGAGGACAGGATAACAAATGTCATTGCAGAAAGTGAAAGGGAAAACAGAACTACACTTGAATTTTTACATGGCATAGCATACAATTTGTCATACTAGGCCCCATTTTTTTCTATTTTGTTACTTTTCTATTTTGTTATATACTTTTAACAATATGTAACTGATTTTCAATAAAAATGAAACATGTCTCTTATTGTAGTTAGTTGTTTTATAAAACTTGTCAGCCTTTTTTCTTGTCTGCCTTTTAGCAGTCGGCCTTTTGTCCGGATCCCGTCTATTGGGCAAATACTATTGCATTCAAACCAAATTTTATACCAATCTGTTTCTCTATTTGTGTTTATTTACATTAGTGTCTGAAAAGAAAAGGAATATTAATAATATTATGGTGAAAAAATGACATCACATCAATGTTGAGTAACCCTAAGCCCTAGGCTAGCATAGCAAAGGAAGTTGTACCATGTACACTTGAGTGACTGGCAGAAAATAGATCAATGGTAGAAAGGCTCCAGAGTCTTAATAATAAAATGATTCTTAAATGTCTAAACAGTCTTGTTTTATTATGCAACTTCACATCCGGACATTTTTAAACTCAAATTTTGTTAACCTGGAAAGGGATAATTCGGAAAAGTGGCAGCCCTGACAAAAATCAGAAGCTGTAGCAACCATCGGAAATCATTGGGAAATAACATTTTTCATAGTTTGCACCAATACAGCAAGACTAGTTTTGTGCACCTTAAATCTAGACTAACAATGAGGCAACTTTCTTTGACATTACTAGCCACGCACCTAGAACGATAGATGACCAAATTATGTATCTCTGTAAAGCTTAACTTCAACACCAAGTAGCTAACAGGTCTATAAGGTATAAAACTCACTAATTCTACTCTTATGCTACTACCTAATCTAGATTCTACTTGAAACTAGTAGCAATAGTCACAAACCTAAAGGAGTGGTTGGTTGCTAACCTGGCACACGACTGGATGGTTATTTTGGCTAAATTTATGTGACAATCTCAATATTAAGTTTATAAATAATTACCAAGTGAAAAGTGTCATTTCCCAGTGTGTTTTTAGACAATAGTCGATTATAGTGCTGTGCATACCAGCTAAAATGTTAAAAATTGCTTTTCGGTAGTAAAGGTCAAACGTAAAAGTTGGTGAAGTTTGGACGATTTAAAAACTTTTAATATTTGTGAGACTGTTGTCAAAATTGACACAAGGGTGTATCAAGATTGACCTATATGTGAAAAAAAAGTGTTAAAAGACTTAGTATTAGCTGGCTTATTACTACATTTACTTATTATTTAATTATTTATCATGCTTTCAAATATGATATAGCCTAATAGATTTTTGTTAGGCCTAATTCTTATTGATGAATTTTCATTAGGCTAATTATAATATTACTAGGCATGCTGCCCAGCTTCGCTTAGGCTTTCGAAAACATTGAGAATTTGAATGCTTAATTAATTCGCCCGAGGGTCAGTCTACGACCTCAAGAGTTATGAAGAGGTTCCTCCGTGGACATTTTTTTTTCGATTTATAGCTCATATAAGGTACCGGTCAGTCGAGGTCAGTTGTGACCCCCTCATCGTAGACTTTTCGGCCAACCGTGTTCTGTCGCCCCAAGTCAAGATCCTGCCAAATTTGAAGCGCCTGCGGCGCCGAGAAGTGCTCTATCGGACACCCGACAATCTAGATCTAGATTCCTAAAAGAATTTTTTTTAAAGTTTAGCCCGAGAATAATAAAAAAAAAATACATTAACGAAGTTGACTTGGTGTGTCTCGAACCCGCACCACCTGCATGGTTTAATGTACACTAGCATCTTCGCTATTTAGGCACCTTATAAAATACGGAGAATGAAACACGTATTTTAAAATCTTAACTTACGCGAATATGCCTATTCTTTCAAATTAATTTTTTTATCCCAAATTAGCCAGTTCCAAACAAAGATTTTGTATAAAATAAATAAGTCTTGAATTAGTTTAGTCCTAATATAGAAATTTATTTTTGGAATTGATTTTTAGAGAAGTTAGAGTCTAAATCTAGATCTTAGCGTCTACGTCTAGATCTAGTTATTGCGTAGATTTAGATTTAGTCTAGATCTAGAATCTCTATATCTAGAATCCAAATACATAAAATTTTATGAGTTTAGGCCGGAAAAATTGTATTGTATACATTTCATAGTGTACGTAGATCTAAATCAAATTTGAATGAAATAGTTCATTCTAAACACGGCAGATGACGTCATTGGTTAATGTATAAGCAATAGTGACGTCACAGTTTTATGCGTTCTTTTTCACATTTATTAATGCTTTTCCGGTTGCATAAATAATACTGTTTCTCTACATTCGAATACGCCTTTAATTTTTATTTTTCTTCTTTAAATAAAATTGTGGTTATACATTTAAAACATCTAACATATTATTTTCAACAAAAGTCCGTATAAAGGTATCCATATATCGCTGCCGATTCTGACGTGATGTCCGGCGAAAATATTTTGCGGACAGACAGAGAGAGAGAGAGAGAGAGAGAGAGATGTGCGAACGTGGGGTTTTATATATTAGGATTTTTACAGTACTTTGTTCAAATATTTATATTAGGCTAACTCATGTTTTTATTGATAAAATTTAATAGGCCTTATAAGTTTAATGTTATAAACCTTGGGGCTAGGCTTATGTTACTAATTACCACTTAGTAAATAAAGTACACATGGACTAGGACGTGTGAGCTGTGCTAGCGATGCTTCTCTCGTTGACAAAACAGCGCGAGCATGCGTGGCCTGTGACGATATTTGGAATGCATATTACTTGCTCACGACTGATCAGTTTCAATGCGCTGACATTTTTAGGGGGGAGGGGGCTCTATTGTTACGGAAGATGCTTGAAACTATAGAACTAGATAACACAGGAATTTACCACAAGAAAAAAAATGTCAACGCTAAATCGATTGTGATGTTTACTGTAGGCATAATTCCGTAACATGGACGTCAAAATCGAAAAATTACGGACAAAACAGTAGGCCCTACAAGTAGGCAACACTGAATCTAGATCTAGAATCTAGTGACACGGTCATAAACGGAGATACCCGAAAAACCATGCTAAATTTAGCCTCTTTTACAAAGTTTACGCAGACTCACGGCAACAATAAAAAAAAAGCCAGAAAAATAAATTTTAGGTCCATCGGAAATGATTTAAAAAGAAATTTGATTTACACACGTTTATCAAGGTTTACCTATAAAACTCAAGGTTTTTGCTCATTTTGGGGAAATTCAAGGTTTTTTTTTCAATGCCTTGAAATGTTTTTCTTAATTCAAGGGTTTTCCAAGGATTCAAGGTCCACTACAGACCCTGATTAAAAGCATGTATTTTAGCCCCTAAGGCCTAATGAGCTAGAACCATCAAATGTAGTGCCAGGTTGGTTAGAGATATAGATCTATTTCTAGTTTTCATTGGCATTACTTAAATAGATCTAGACTAGATCTAGAAAAATAACTAAAACTAAGATATGAGAATATCTAGATTCTAGATCTAGACCTAGCCTACTTGAACTACTTCTTATAGGCCTAATAATAGGTACTAGGATTTGCCTCCCGTTTTATGATGTGCTGCAAGATTTCCCCCCGTTACCCAAATATCAAGAGTTGGCGCTATAAGTTTACAATAAAAAATAATAAACAAGATGGCTGCTATAGTAAATGAGCATGGTTGCATCTGTTGTCTTCATTTATTACTGAAAGTTTTAATTCCATTTTTTAAAAACAGTAGGTTGAATTATGGATTTTTTAAAATAAAATATTCTGTTATTTTAAATACACCATTAACTTCCTTACCCCTTAAGAGAACATTTGACACCACATTTAAATATCTAGCTTACTCGGTTGACGAGAAAAGAGAGAATTTGATAATTAATCAAAAATGGAAAATGAATGACAAAACAGCGTTCTTGGCCCTCGACCGGCATAACATGACGTCGTCGACTTGTGTACACGAGCTTTTAATTCCCGCCATGGTAATTGCGTCAGCTTAGGTAATTTACTCACCGGATAATAACAAAAAGCAACTGGTTGATTTGATAATAAAACTAGATCTAGTTATTTTATTATTTATTAAATTCTACTCTACATGTTATTCATACCATTTTATGCAATAATGAACACCTGCATAAATCAAATGACAATAATAAATATTTTTATTTCAAATTCTAATTTTAAATAATAAATATGCTTAAAATGATATTATAGTTTATAAATACAAATACATTTTACACTCAATTCACATTATATTGAGTCAACAGTGTGGCAGCTGAAGTTCATACATGGTATTAGTGTCTTTTTTTTTTTACATTACATTTTTTTTTCATCTTGAAAACATGACGTATGTGATTTTTTTTTAAAATAAAATCTCCAAACATCGTAACTCGCGTGATTGCTTGCTTGCGTTTACTATCCTGTTGATGAAAAATCCCACCACGGTCGCGGGGTCACCGTGACTTCAGCAGGCCTATAGTGCACGTCATAGAATGAACACGTGTACACGAGATGGTCGGTGTCTTCACTTCTCTCCCCCCCCCCCCTTCTTCAAGCAAATTGAAAAACAGACATACTTCCCTACTTCTGATCATTTTTTTAAAAGTTCGGTAATTATTTTTTTTTAAAGTTCTCATATCAGGCATGCTAGGTTATTTTTTTAACTAGATCTACATCTAGCTTAAAAAAATAAATAAATTAACGCTTAAAATGCCCGTAAACAGATTATTTAGCGCCAAAAAAAAAAAGGCCGCTGAACGAGCATTTTTTAAAATACGCAGCAATGAAAAAGGCTAACGGCCGATCAATTAAGTCTAAAAATTGCCCGTAATTAGGCCTAGCTCTGAAAAAGGCCACTGAACAAGCATCACTAATTAATTTATATAAACGAATAGGCCACGCAGCGTTGACGAGGTTAACCACCGGTCACGAATGCAGCAACTGTCGGCCCACAGAGAAGAAAAAAATCAATATACAAATAAAATTACTAATACAATAATAATATCCATAATTTTACTTTTTCCGCACATGCTACAATTGAATTATAATTAAAATACTAGACTTAACAGTTCATTCCGCAAAAAACTAGTTGTTTCTGTCTGGCAACTAGCGTAACAATGATGCAACGTTACTAAAAATAGCAGAGAGAAATTGTCGCATGGTTACTTACGGGGTAATTGGATTTTTGGTAAAGATCATCCATAATACTGTAAATATACATGGTAAATATCTCAATTATATATTTATCTACTGTTATATGGGCCGTTTTCCCCGTTATACAGTCGTTTTTGGCCGCAGTTCGGTTTATACGGAGAGTGCTCCACTAGAAATCCTCTCATTATTTACAACTACAATGCTAGCGATTTTTTCTGGCATTCTAAGGCATATTATCCATTTTATTAGCATCTTGTGTTAAAATAATGATAAGAATTTACGAGATTAACAGTTTTTTCATTTGTCGTGGATAGGACCCCTAAAATAAACGTAAAAACCGTCAGAAAACGACGCGTGACGTTTTCAGGGTCAGAGGTCAATCAAGCCATCTAAGCAACAAGACGGACTAAACAGGAACAAGGAAACATTTTTGTATTTTTCAAAACATAAATCCTCCTCAAAATGTGAAATAATTATTAAAATTTAAGGAGTCACCTGTTTTTCACACTACTAGTCGTGGGTGATTTTACGTAGGCCTACCTAAAATGATAGATTACCACCGTTTGAGCTACATCAAAAAGGTAAAGTGTTCTGTTATTGTAATTTTCTGCTCCATTTATTAACTGTAGATCTCGTAGTTTTTTCCCAGTTATACCAATTTTAAAAATGTATTCTAGATCTAGATCTAGTACCTACCTAATAATCTTAGTTAATTTAAGTAAGTTAATCTTAGAATTAGGCCCTAAATCTTTAATTATTTTATTTATTATTTATTTAATATTTAATTTTAAATCTTTGCTTACAGAAATATCAGGAGACACTTCCATTTTGAAAGTCTGCTGTTGTAGTGTTTTAAGTGTAATAATCATTTCTGGTCTTTTACTGCTCTTAAACCAGGTCTGAGAAATTTAGGCTATTAAGAAGAAAAGTAGAGAATCTAGATCTAGAATCTAGAGGTTTATTAATTACGATGATTCCCTTGTTGGATAGTCGCCATGAATAATCATCCAGCAGCAAATTTTTTTTCTTTTTAAGAAAAAACGTTTATGGCCTATTTATTCCTAGGCCGAAGTTTAGGCTGTATGCATTAGATCAGCCTATTTTTAAATAAATAAATTAGAATTGTTCACATAAATAGTTTTTTTTTATCGTTGTTCAGGTATAGCATTGGCCTAAAGTAGGATTTGAAAATTTGTCAGAAAATATAGGCCTATATAATAATATATCTAAGGCTAGATTTGTACTAGCTTTACAAAGAGTTTACATTTGCGACATGTATACTATAGATTATACATGTCTCGGTAAAAAAACTTCGCAATAAGTTGCATAAATGAGTAGATCTAGGGTCCCCAATACATGTTCTGACCAAGTTACTTTTCTTCTCTAGGCCTAGGATCTAGATCAGGGGTTCCCGACCTTTTTTTTTTTTTACTCTAGAGCACATTCTAAAATATAGGTAGGGTGGCGGGCACAACCTATTTTAAATCGACAAACTCCTTCCATAACTTGTCATGTTCCCATAATTTATTTTCTTATTTTCTTACATGGGGCCCAAAAAATGTTTTTGCGGGGTGGCCCATTTTTTCTAGCTCCGCCACTGGGAGTGTATGACGATAATCCTGTTAGCAGACAATCATAAAGATGCTCATCGGTGAGTCGAGATCAATATCTTGATTTTATTAAGTTCATGTTTGAAAACAATGATTCGCATAAATATGCCGAACCGAAAAATGATTCAAACGGCACCAGCCGTTCCAGGCTAGCGCAAATAGTGCAGTCTGGCTCGCCGCTAGACAAGTTGGGACAAGTATCGAACATATTTAATAAACCTAGGCAGTCAAAAAAAAATTAAAACTGTAACAAATGAATAAAAATAAATCATATTTTAAAATAATGTTTATGAAAAAAATTCTGTCTCTGTCGAATAGTGAGAGGCGGGCACATACGAATCGTTCAGCGGGCGCCATGGCGCCCGCGGGCACAGGATTGGGAACCCCTGATCTAGATTCTAGTTCTAGAATCTAGATATAGATCTAGATCTGATGTCGCAGGTGTAAACGCGGTATCAAGCACAATTTATTTGGTTCGAGACAGTTGTTACTTTCGATTTTGCCACCTAGCCCATAGAAAATTTACAAAGTGGACGCAGATTTATTTGATCTAGAATCTAAATCTAGCTAGAGTCTAGACTCTAGAATAGATCTAACTCTTAGTAAGTTATAATTTTCTATAGATCTAGTTTAGAATATATTTTCAGTATATTTATATATTTAGAAGGGTGTGGGGAAATTGCGAGACGCGAAAAGCGAAATGGCGAGGCGGGAAAATGCGAGAAGGTAATGCGAGACATACCTGCGGAATTAAGGGTAAATAGCGAGACACTTTTTGCGAAAAAAAGTTTTTTTCTTTTTTTGTTCCATCTTTATTCATTTAAATTATTTTTTTTTGTTTTAAAATAAACAAGCATTTTTAGCCATACTCCATACCCTTTAACACGAGTGTTGTATGTTGTTATCTTTTATCTAGATACTAAGAAGATAGATAGATCTATATCTAGATCTATCTATTTAAAAATCCTAACATCGTTTCTGTGCTACTGTCATCGTCCCGCTCTTGTTAGCGAGAGGAAAATCCCGTCTCAGTCGGCATTAATTTAAAAATCTAGCCCGCTCATGTTAATACAAACGTGAGCTGTGTCATTGTGAATAGGTATAGTCTTGTCAGCAGGAGAGATATTTTGCAACATATATTTATGGATTTTTGTACTTGCAAAAAGTGTAAAAGTATAAACAATTCTAAAAAGTGCAATTATTTTTTTTATTAAGTAATTTTAATTACAAACAAAATTTACAAACAAAATCTTCTGAAACAGTCATCAAACACACCTCGTGACACCATCTTTCACACATAGTACACCCAACCCAGTTCAAGTTCATTAGACTCCCATTTATATATTTTTCTTTTGCTACTTCTTCCAATCCACATTCACAACATTTCACATTCTCATCACAGTTGACCTCCTCGTTCATCCCACAAACAACACTGGCACCCATGTTCTTATCATCATCATGCACACGCTCAACATCTGTTTTCCGTTTTTTATAATTTGCGCTTTTTATCATTTCTGTAATTTTGGAAATGTCTTGCTCATTGTTGTCACCAGCAGTTGAGTTTTTTTAAAACATCGATATTTTCCCAAAATCTTGTCTAATTTCCGTCAAAATAGAGTATTTTAATCAATTCCTATTACAATGTATTAAAACAGTTTTCTAAAACGTGAAAAAACGTCTAAAATTCTTTTTCTAACATTGCTTTTTTATAGTGTGACTTCACATCTACCCCCCCCCCCCCCTCCCCCTCCTCAACACACATCGTCATAAAATTACAGACCCCCCCTACGAGAGTGACGTCATTTATGGAAGACCCCAAATAACACCACCACCAAAACCAAAAAATTCAGATAAGTTCAACTTGGTTTTAAAAATATTTGAAGTAGGCCCATAGCTTACGATATAGCATGAGCAACTGATAATATCGGTGACGTCACTTTATTTTGTTGTATCCAAATGATGTAGGCATTTCCTTGTGCTTAGATTTATATGGTAAAAAAAGCTAGAAAAAAAATCGTAGGCGGCGGCTATAATACAAAATTTCTATGCAACAATAGAAAATATGTTTGCGGCGATCTTCAAAGACGGTAAATCAGGCGGCCTCGGCGTTCCACACAAAAGACAGAAGTTGATCTATCGTCGGCGGTATTTCCGTCGGTTTCGAACAAGGTGGTATTCTAAGTCGACACAAAAGATGGGGGGAGTTGACAAATCATCAGTATGTCTAGCGACGGAAAAATCGGAAGTTTTAACAATGTAAACGAAACGTCTTTGAAGTCTGGACCAAGTACCACTGAAAATCGGGTGCGGTAAATTTTTCGCAGAAATCTTCGCATTTCAACACCACCCAGCGTAGGTATCGACTTGTGGTAAAATGCGAGACAAACAGTCACGTGACCGGCCGTTTTCGCGCCCTTCTCGCATTTTTCCGCCTCGCCATTTCGCTTTTTGCCCACACCCTATTTAGAACAATTATTAAATAAGGTAATCTATCGTTTTAGGTACGTAAAATCGCCCGCGACTTGTAATGTGAAAAACAGGTGACTCCTTAAATTTTAATAATTATTTCACATTTTGAGGAGGATTTATGTTTTTTAAAATACAAAAATGTTTCCTAGTTTCATTTATGTAGATCTACCTGTTTTCAAACAATTGAATTAAAACTTTTCCGTAATAAGTAAAGACTAGCGATGTTTCCAACAGATGCAACCATGTTCATTTACTATAGCAGCCATCTTGTCTAAGTTTTATTTTTATAAGCTTATAGCGCCAGATTCAGGGGGAAGCCACTCTATTTTACAAATGGCTGCTGTTTATATATAGCAAATCTTGCTCTCAGACACTGCTGTTTAAAGTTAATTTCTGGCCTATATCGATATATTAAATATATTATTAATTATATATTTAGCCATTGATTTAGGTTTATTATTCATTTATCTATAATATTTGACACAAACATATGACAATATAGACATCTATTAAAGCCTTGACAATGAGGTAACGTTTTCGTACATTAATAGCCGCGGGCGATTTTACGTACCCAAAACGATAGATTATCTTAAATAAAGCAATTCACATTCTGCTTACTTTAATAATTAGGCTATTAATTAGATCTATGTCTATGTTGCGCTCGATATTCTCAGCCATTAGACCAAAAAAATGTACAAAGTCTAGAATCTAGTCTAGTTAGTCTCATAAAAATTCAAATTTCTTCAAATTATAAAAAGAATAGCATATAGGGTAAAGGAGGGCACTAAGAGCCACACTTTTAGCACCTGTACATCAATACTAATAGTTTCGCTGTCTGTTTACTGTCTATCTATCTATCTATCTATGTATCTGACAAGAACGCTAAAGAGAAAACACAAGCAAAATAAAAAATTTCATAGTAAAACGAAATATGACGTCACATTGAGCATATAAAGCCAGGAGAGTGCACACAATAATATGACATCATTGATTCTCGAGTAAACATTGAATTAAAAAAAACATTTTTTTCTAATCTTAAAAGTGGTTTGCGTGAAGTTTCTTTCATATAATTCTTCGGTAGGGGCGAAGCCCCACCCCCGCGTAAGAATGTCTAAGCCCCCCCCCCAACTCAAAAGAAATGTCGTTATCGATACTCTATAATAGAAACACTGACATTACCGCCTAATTCATGTGTATAATCTTCAAAGTGGTTTGCGTTCAGAGTTTCTTTCATGCTATTCTTCAGGTAAGGGGAGAAGCCCCCGCCCGCCGGCAAGTGCGACCAGTGTTTCTTTCAGACTTTGTTCTGCCAGGAGGGAGTGTACTTGAAATTTTCTATTCTAAAAAGTGTTTTGCTTGCACAGTTTCTTTCATGCATCTCTTCGGATAGGGGCGAAGCCCCTCCCCGGCTCTAACTTTAGTTTGTATGATCTACTAATGCGACAAGTGTCCAAGTGTTTCTTTCAGAATTTTCCCTCCCCGGAGTGGGGGTTACTTGAAATTCTTGCTGGCAGGGGTGGAATTTTCTACAACCTAGCGCCCGTTGTATCCTTCCTCAACGGGCCATTTTTCTGGGAGGGGGTTGACATTGGAAAAGGTATATAATTATATTTCGTTGTATTGGACAGTAGATGTGCTTTGGCGGGTGGGGGGGTGATGTGGAGCCCCCTACCCGCAAGTAGAATCGCCTGAAGGAAACTCTAAATGCGACTTTTGTCATGATTTAGATTAGGTGCACGGTTTGGGGTATATTTAGTATTGATGTGCGGTAACTATGTGTAGATTAAGCTTAAAATCCGATTTAAATGCCGATTCTGAATTAAAATCCGCTTTCAATGTAAGTTTTCGTCTTCGGTTCAATTTGAAGTTAATGTGGTGATTTTGGTTTTGGTTTTAGTTTAGAGAAAAAAGACAACACTATCAACCTAGCGCCAAGTCTATTAAATATACTTTAATTAAATGATAAATGGGTTTAATTGAACATTTATTGTCATACCCCCAAAATCAGCATTTGGGGTATATGGAGCCGGGCAATGGGGCAATAAGTATTATCTCCTAGTTAACTCCACAATAAAAATAATTAATTTCTAACCCCAAAATAGTTAATGCTGTGTACACACACTTAAACTGCTACTAGCTATCACTAGGCCCCAATGGGCCCGTTCTACAATTGATACAATTGCAGGTGTACATAGGGCATACAGTCTAGTAGTTTAAAGTAGGCACATTAGTATGCCTAGTGTGTAGCTAGTATACTAGTGTGTAGCTGTCCAGAGTTAACATTTTTAGATGTAAAAAGGGGTGGTACTAACTAGGGTAGTATACTATATTAGAAGCAATATATAACATGTACCCACAATGACCCCAAAAACGTTTTTCATCTTGCTGGGTTGGGGAGGGGGGGAAGACACCAACGACACCCTACACTATTCATAACTTAAACAAATCAAACTCACAGTGACCCTAGCTAGATCGTGTCAATATTTTTCTCCCACTGACAAAGAAAAAGTGAGCAAGCGATCATATAAGCAACAGCATTTAGAATTGGCATGTTTCAAGATCTAAATCTAGAAAAGATATTAAAAACAAAACAACAATACAAATAAGTGATCGAGACAAAACTAGAAACTGACTGTTTAAGATGTGTCCCAGGAACAAGCAAAGGGAAAGCTTTGTTTAGTTAGGTTCTGAACTGGTAACTTCATAGATTTGGAAGGCACAATGTTCTCCACTCGGCCAAGACATCTTACATTATCTTACGTTATTTGTCCAATAATTATTTTGTTTATAAAGGATAATTATTTTGTTTATAAAGCTGAATATAGGGTATTTAAATATAGAAGTACCTAACGCTAGCAAATCGACAGAACTATTTAAAAAACACAATAAAACACAACAAAATACGAGCAAATCCACAAGAAAAATCAAATAAACATGAGATAAGTATAATTTAAATACAGGTTATACTAGTGTGAAACATTTACTTTTGTAGGGAAACTCACTAGGCCCTGAATTTTAATTATTTTTTAATTTTAACTACACCGATAAAAACTAAAGATCTGTTTCTAACTAATCAGGCACTATATTTGATAGTTCTAGCTCAGTTGGTGTTACACTATACAACAATACTGTAGGTATTTTTATGAAAATTTCAAAATCATTTTTTTATAAAAAAGGTATCATTAGTAGCCAGCACACTAGTAAACTAAGCGAATTTAGCATATAGACCTATTAACTTTCTGTGCAGTCATTATTGCTGAAAAAAACTCCAAAGTGAGGTCAGCCTGAGCCTGTGGCGCCCTCCACGTTAAGGAAAAGGTGCTTGACCTGTGACCTTTTTCTTTATTATAAATAAAAATGTGCTTTATCTTACCCAAACAAGTAATAAAAATCTGAAAATTAATGTTAATTACTGTTGATAAGTGAGATAAACAGCTAAGTAAAAACATGCTTTTGGGGGGGGGGGGGGGGCACATCGTAATTGAAACTTTATATTACTGTGTTTTATTACTATATTTATCCACAATCAGCATGCTTTGCTTTTTAAACTGATAAAGGGTTAGTATACCAAGTTACAAAACCTACAATCTAACCTATTAATTCATACTTTCACTACTTTCAGTTTAAAAAATAAAGACTATCAATACTATCATCAATTTAAAAAAAGGGTAAACATTCTATTTTTTGGTATGACATCATAAATAGTTATAAATCTAGCCAAATGATTGGATTCTTGCGCAGCACACTTTTTCCCTTGCCTTGTTTTTACCAAAAAGATTATAATAAAATTGCATTGAGTGATGATCATTTAGGCGTAACACATCTCATAAACACAATAAATTATTACTAGTTAATTTTAATGTGTGTAAAATTAATGCTTTCATGTTTAGTATTCACATAGGTTGTTCTGAAATCAAAGCGTTATTTTAGAGTTATTTAATTTGAAAGACAAGAATACATAGAGCTACTTTCACTACAGTGCAGCTTGCAAGCCAAAGAAATTAGGTCAAAAGTACACCTGACAATTCTTAAATAACAGACTTAAATAGAAACGGTTAGTTCCAATTTCTAAAATGGCTTCATAATTATTAATTTTAGCCCTCTACTACTTAGTGTAAGTGAAACTGGTCGTCCAGGGTCCTTGAGATGGCATCAAAACAAACAAACCCAGAAGCTGTAAATCGAACGGCCTATATAGATTTCTACAGCATTTTCATTGTTGATGCTTATCAGCCTATCCCAGAAAGTTTTTTCGATGACGACACTGAAGTTATCAGTTGACAAGGTGAAGGCTTGAAAGGGTCAACTGCGTGCTTGTTAAATTATGCAGCAGTAAAACATAATCGAAAGGATATTCATAATTTGGTTATTTAATGTATTTACTAAATTAGTAGTTTTTAGTATGAGCCAAATGAATGAACCAAGAATAATCCCGTTTAGACCTGTTTAAAAAAAATAGATCTAAACTTTTAAAGATATTCATATTCACATTTTAATCAGTTTTGATTAATCAGTGCAAGTATTTTAGCATTGTTTAATTAGGACAATTATAAAAGATTGAGATTTCAATGTAAGCAGAATCTAACCCTCCTCCCTTACCGAGCAGGTGACTGGAGTTAATGTACACATAGCTTTGTCCAGGCTGAATTAATAAAAATGTTTTTTTTATTTGTAGGCCTATCTATTTGGGTTTTTTGTAAACAGTCGTCGCATTAAAGTTAATCACGTCAGCGAGAAATGCATTCCAAACATCTTCACTGCGTCAGAAATATTAGATTTCTAGTCAAATACGTCAGGGACCTCGACAGCATATTTTCTTTGTAAAAATTTTCATGATCGCGAGTGAGGTGTATTGTGTTTTGCCATTTGCGCAAAGTTTGATATTTTAGAGATATTTTCACATCTAAATAGAATAAACCAGGAGTCATCTCCCCTAAACTTTCTCGAATATTCTTATATAAAACAACAGGGGATGGGAACTCGGGATATAGACATGATTTTTAATCCCTTTTAAATACTTAAACTTTTTAAAATAGAATAAAATCTCGTAGAAAAAAGAATTGCACACCAAGTGAACGGCAAATAAAATGTGCATAATAGTGTGCAATATTATTAGTACTTTATAAATTTACATTAGTTTTTTGAGAAATCGGAAATAGCGAAAATTACTACTTCCGGTCAACGGAAACTACTCAAAATTTGATAGAAGGTAGAGAATTAGATCTTTTACTTACAATACATGTGAAATTTCATTTATCTATGTGAAATAGTACTCAAGTTATAGGCTTTTGAAAAATTCAAAGTGGAAAAAGTTCCACTTCCGGTTATCGGAAATCGCTCATAAGTTGATACAGATCTACGATTTTGATATAAAATATATATATGAAATTTCATCAACCTAGCTGTAACGGTGTTTACACACACACATGCACAGACAGACATACGGACAAGATTGCAAAACTGATTTTCTGCTCGATTTTTTTTTTGCACGATTACAAGACTCTCTTTATACTTTGTATATACGAGAAAGTAAAAATGGAAGATCTTTTTAATCATATTTGTAGAAAATTTTTTTAGTGGAAATTTATGAGAATTCAATTTTTCAGAGAAGATTTGACAACTAAACCATTTTTACTAAAATAATTTGTATAAATTTTATACAAGACTAAAGGTCATTTAGTCCTGCATATTTTAAGCTAAGTTTAGTCAGTTTAACTTTTGTCAGTATGCATTCACATAAGCTTACTACCCGCATGCTACTTCAGTGTTAAGAAAGTAAACTCAAGAGGTGAAACAGCTGACGGCACAGCTTTCAAATTACACAGAAAAAAATGCTTCGCTATGATTGGTCAGTGTATGAAAAGCCTACTGAAAGTTAATGCTGTTACACAATACAGATTTCTTAAATTTAAATATGTCCTGAAATTTATGTAAAAGGCTTGGAAAACTCCTGGAATTTGTTTTTAATGTTTGTGCATGAACCCTGGCCATGTAAAAAACAAAATTTTTTTTTAAATTTTTTTTTTGTTACAGAAAATTACTGAAACTTAGAGTCAGAGAAATACCAAACAGTCCAGTTGATGAACTATTGGTGTCCAAAAAAACTCATAAATGTAATATTTAGGCTTCAATTTTTAGGAATCAGTGTTATAAATTAACATAAAAGTTTTGAATGTAGAGAGTACATATATATTTATTATCATCAAGCCAAAGTTTAATTTTAGTACAACAAACTTTGAGTGGGTTATACTTATAGAACTTCTGTGATTGTATTTCTGAAAACCCCACTTTGTTGTAATTTGCACAACAAACTTTGCTGATAATTATTTTTATTAAGTTACACATTATCTAACCGCATCAAGCCAAGGTTATTTACATTTTCAGTGTGAAAATAAAAATGGTTTTGGCTTTTATAAAATTATGTTTAGTGACAGAAAATACTAAAACATCAAGTTGTTATAACCACATTTCTTTTTAAGTACTTGGCACATAATTTTAAAAATATTTGATGGTACTATGGAGATTCTCCTCCGGGATTAAATAGTAGAGATCTATTTTTATTCAATACTGTTAATGAATTAATTATAATTTTAGTCATTATTAGTCTTAGTAACTATTAGAGTTTAGTCTTAACTCTTGAAGTCTTAGAATAAGAAATACAAGCATTCTAAAATCAAGAAATTTAGCCTTTACTTATAGGTAATAGGGCTGTGTGATTGTGTTTGAACACAGTATAATTGAGTGTATGTTTTGTAATTTTACAGGCAAATGAGCAGATCTGATATTGAAGACCGATTGGAACAATGTCTTTTTTATCTCCCCAAAAAAAAACGCCTGTGTAGATTCCAGCCAAAACCAGGGCGCAAATATTGCCCTGAACATGAATGCATCACTGGCGTAAGTAAATGAGATAAACTAATCTACGGCTTCATTCCAGATTAGGCCTTTAATCATTATGTTACTGTCAAAGCTTGAAGTCAGCCAGTGGGTTCATTGGCCAATATCACATTCTATTGACTATTTTGTTTGGTCATTGGCCAGTCAGTTTTGCTGACTGGCTTGGGGAGACTGGCCTAAGTCGGAATTAGTTAAAGTAAATAACAAACACTTAAACTATTCTACTGTACTAAAGGTTAATCTATATTCGTTTTTTTGTCACTAGAAGATGTACATTTATGGCATTTAGAATTCCATAGTAGTTTGTAATTTTGACACTCACTCACAGCCATTTATTGTACACTTGGCTGTGTTATTGCAGCGATTGTAGCTTTGGCCACCAGTCAGTTATTGGTTAGTGATTTGTCTACAGTGCCCACTGTTGTCAATGTTCTGGAATACAGTTGTTTGAAATACTGTTTCTTACTTGATGGTCATGAGATCACTGGGATCACTTAGAATTCTGTCAACATTTGTAAACTAGCATGACCTACTGACCTCTTGTTCTACTTCAGTTGGTATTTTATTGGTCAAATCTGGTTTTAAACCCCCACTTGATCTCCAGTGGCCTGGATCCTATTGCTCACCATGTAAGGGCAGCAGCAACAACCACTGCATTGTCTTTTGAACATTCAGTCTTGTTGCACATGGACAGAGTTTGTTCTTTCATTATTGCTTCACCCAGTCATTATAGAGGAGGCTATCACATACATTATTAGAGTAGCTCATATTTCCAATATTTGTAAATGAACAAGGTTTTTTTCTGCGGTAGCCTTACTATGTGTTGGTCTTTTACAAACACATATGCAGAGACAAGCATATATCTTTCTCCTTTGCTTACAATACACATTTTCTATAAAGGGGTAAAAAAGTTCTTCTTTAGTGTCCATTGAGCAGAGTAAGTAGAGTACATCTTTTACCTGACCTCTGCATATGCAGGGGTAGTGTAGTCACCAATATGTGTAGCTGCCTTTACCCAAGGTAAGTCAGGTACTTATCAGGGCTGGGTGGACTCATGGACATAACCCTACAGTCACATGTCCAAACAGAGATTTGAATCCGAGACCTTTGGGCTAGCTGCCAAACCATTAAGGGGGTAACTGACGTGTAATATCTAAGACCCTTTCTGCCATACACTTTTTAAACACCATCCGACACATACAAACAGTATTAACACACATACACCGGCCAATGTACGATGTGCATTGTCAATATATATATATATACTTCAATAGATATACCTTTAATTAAAGAAAGCAAGTAGTTTTAAAAGCTTATTATTAGAAAGTTATTTGTAATATTTGTTTTATTCAAAGAACAAAAATGATAAACAATCAAGGACATATTACATATTCTTGTCTGGGATCTCAGCGTGAGACCTTAGCACTTGTATGCTCTAATGTCTCACCCCACAAGCCAATACAATATTATGATTATGCCTGTATATTTTCAGGTTTCTATTGATCGCAAAAGGATACCATGTCCATTAAATTCCAGTCAGTGAGTACTTTTTAAATGTCAATCTGTGTACTGCTGTAATTCACTGAGATTGTGTGGTGTGCCCTGTCCTCTGAAAAACCTATCTGTAAAGTACTGTGACTTGTGTGTTTATCAAGCAGTATATACCCAACATGGCCCGGGTTTAAGAAATAATTACTTTTCCAAAATAAATGTCTATAAGTAAATGTGGATGTTTAAGAAAATAACACAAAACCCTAAACCTAACTGTAACTCTAATTTTAACCCTAACCACAAACAACCAAAACTAAAACCTAAACTTAACATAAACATACACACAAACAAAAACACAAACGCAAATTAAACACAAAACACAAAGGTTAATATAAACGCAAACAATAACGCAAAGGGAAACAGAATCATCAACATAGAGCACATTTAGAGACGGTTTCTAAACTGTTATTGATTTGTGTAGCTTTAGCAAATGACGCAATCTGTATCATTGTTTCAGGATGCATGTGGCGCTCTAGGTTATCCTGTGAGTACTATGGCGCCTCTGCGGTAGTGTAATCGGGGGCTCCAGAGAGCACTCCTGTACGTCACTGACACATTATTTCTGTTAGTGATTAACGTACACTCAAAATTTTCATGTGGTAGTGTAGGTAAACCCGTGTCCTGATATTTATGATTCAAGCGCAGGCATTGTTTACATTTAAATAACTCACTTTTACAAAACAAGGTCAGGCATCTGGTATGATTGGTAACGCATTGATGAAACCCTTCTTATGTATTTCGACAGACTTTCTTCTATTCCCACGGCAACGCTGGCAGACGGGTACGCTAGTATATATATATATATATATATATATATATATATATATATATATATATATATATATGTAACCAATGAAGAATGAAGCAACACGCTTTCTTCTACACAATGGTAGGTTCGATGATTTCATTGCGTACAATAAAAAGCCAAAAAACTAAAAACCCAACAGACCTCCAAAGTCCCTAAGTCCGGTCACAGTAAACACGTCCGTACTGGTTTCTTCTAACTTGGTCTGGATTTACTTTGTACCAGAACCAGAGTCTAGTCATCGTTTCTTGTGTACTATCTGGTCGTACTGTCGGGTCGTGTTTCTTTGAGTCTGTATTTATTGGCTACCCCTGGAATCTGCCAATATTCTCGAGTGTCGATCAATCATGTCCTGTCTACCAGTCCGTCTTTCCCCCACTGTCAACCTCGCCCCGTGCGACGTAAATTACCTGTTGATACTACTCACTGCCCCGCCTCCCGTGGTCAGTTCCAGACTTTTTATGGGCGATGGCCGGTGGTTCGCTATTAAACGCCTCAGGTGTCAAGATCTAATCGGTGCCTGACCTGCGTTTCCGGTATAGTTATGGTGTATATACCCATCACCATATAATCAGCATATACCCCGCATTGCCCACCCTAACCACAACCTTCCAAAACCAAAACACGAAAAAACTGCAAACATAATACAAACACAAATATAAACTTAAACACAAACATAAAATTAAAATAGCAAACAAAAGCAAACCAAATTCAAACACAAACTCAATCACAAATGCAACCCAAACACAAAAAAACGACAGACGCAAACCTAAACGCAAAGTGCTCAGTCTAGTCCTGGGCGCCAAATCTCAACATTCTGGGGCCCCGGCGGCACCACCTGTTTCAGCTTAGTAAACGAATATAGTACCCCAACTTATTCATAGTCTTTTGCACTCACTTAAATGAACATAGGCACCATATCTTACACTGGAAGGCCTAGGGCACTAAATAGCACAGAGACTATAGTAACCTTTCTTATCCATAGTCTATTGCACTGTTTAAAACAAAATTATGCACCATGGCGATAGGATAGCCCAGGGCGCCAAATTGAACCCTGCCAGGGCGCGGCGGGCTCGTCTGCTTCAATTTAGTGAACAATTATAACACCGCAAGCTTATCCTCAAACAGAAAGAAGTAAATATAGAGGACATTTAGCAGCTGGCTTCTTAACTGTTTTGATTTTAAAAAATAATTAGTAAACAGTATGTTCCGCGTATAAAATTAATAAAACGCAGTATTTAAAATACCTACCACATTGCACTTGATTAATCCCTGCTAATTATGTAATTATTTTTTTCCCAACACCAAAACAAAGCCCCCCCCCCCATGTAATGTTTCTTTATAAAGGGAAGTAATTGTGTGTTCCTAATTTATCAAGGGACATAATAAGTGCTAAAGAACTAAATGTAAATATTTTCAGACTCAATTCGAATTTTTGTGAATGGTGATACTTTTTAAAAAAATTTTGTTTGATGGACATGCTGACAATTATCACTCCAAGTTTGAAAAATGAAAATTGTTTTACAACACCTTCAATATTAATTTTTATTTTCTCGTATATACGAAGTTTAGAGAAAGTCTTGACGTTTTACACATCCCTGAGTCGGAAAAACATAATTTTGCAATCTTGTCTGTATGTATGTATGTGTGTGTGTAAACACGATAACTTGAGCACAATTACAGCTACGTTGAAAAAATTTCATATATAAGTATTATATCAAAATCGTAGATCCGTATCAACTTTTCAGCGCTTTCAGATAACCGGAATTTCTACTTTGAATTTTTCAAAAGCCTGAAACTTGAGTACTATTTCAGATAGATAAATGCAATTTCACATGTAAATAAAAGATATAATTCTCTGCCTTCTATCAAATTTTGAGTAATTTCTTTTGACCGGAAGTAGTAATTTTCGCTATTTCCAATTTCTCATGTGAATTTATAAAGTACTAATAATATTGCACACTATTATGCACATTTTATTTGGCGTTCACTTGGTGTGCGATTCTTTTTTCTGCGCGATTTTATTCTATTTAAAAAAGCTTAAGTAATTAAAAATCATGTCTATATCCCGAGTTGCCATCCCCTGTTGTTTCATATAAGAATATTCGAGAAAGTTTAGGGGAGATTACTCCCGGTTTATATACATCATGAATTTAGACGAAGAGCTTTTTAGATGTTTAACACTATGACGATGAAGTCTATTAATTTCTTATATTCCTTTCGTGTCAAGGCTCCGCCCGCCACTTACAGAATTGAACTTTATATACTAGATATATATCTATATATATAATTCTCTTCTGGGAGCCGTTAGAAAACAAGCAATCTCCTCTCTTCCTCTCTGTCGCTACCACCCCCACCTCCACCCCTCTCACATGATCTGGTGAGCTGTGGTTCACGCTAAATAAATGTTTACATTTTACAATCGTAGAGCTAGGTTTGGTGACGGCTATTAGGGGCAGATAATTTAGTTTGAAACGATTTTAAACTTACAGGAGGTAACTAAGAGGAGGTTGCTTTCACGGAAGGGGGGGGGTGTAGGGTCGGGGTTAGGTGAGAGGGGGGGGGTAGTGTTTTAAAGCAAATATTTTCAGTGGCAGCATTCGTATTGTCGAATTCACAAATTATGAATTACTGAAAAGTAGAAAATAAAAAAAACTAAATAGCGGCGTATGATACGCTGCGGGTCGGCTCGTATATATATATTAGACTACCAGTTATCCTTTGATAACAGTTGGTTTCTAGGAGTCTTCCATAAATGACGTCACGTTTGTTTGACACCATTTAGCTTTCCCCTTCACACTGTCACACATCGCCACAGAAAGCTAGACCCCACAGTTTTGAATGAAAGTGTCACACCTCAGACATCTATTTATATATATAATTCTCAACAGACCATATCGCTACCACCCCCACCCCCACCAGCCTGGTGAGATGTTTACAATCGTAGTGCCGGGTCGAATTAGTGACAGCTTTAGGTGCAGATAATTTAGTTTTTAAACTATTTGAAACTAAGGGGAGGTAAAAACAACTTCTGCTTGATCTTTTCATTGTCGTCTGTAAGCTGTCGTCAAGGATGGCTGTTTCACTGGGGGGGGGAGGGGGGGGGGGGGAGTGGAAAGTGAGGGTGAGGATAGTCGTCCTTCACGAGCTACCCATGGTGTTTTAAAGGAAAATATTTTCAGTCGCAGCATCGGTAGTGTCGAATTCACAGATTATGAATTACTGAAAACTAGAAAATAAAACATCTAAATAGCAGCATATGCTACATCGTGTCTGAGCATGGCTCTGACCACACTATCCCTTCATAAGCTGAGGTCTCAAAAACAGGTGAACTGAACTCTACTTCACCTTCCCTGTGTCCCGCAAGTCCCAATTAACAAACGAATTAATTATTAAAGCTAACGGCAAACTTATTATAATGAATTTGAATTAGAACCATTTGTGTATGTTGTGATTTCCCACTGTGCATTTTCTTTGAGGGAAAATGAAAACAAAAAATGTAATATTAAGTTGATGTGTTTTAAATTATTCATACCACCTACATGGTATTGCACTATTATCTCGGCTAGTTAGACACATACCATTGAGTGAAAATTGAGAGACCACTCTTCTCCATAAAGTAAAATTAAGTTTTAACTAACTTAAATTATATCCTAATTTAGCCAAATCCATTGCTAAAATAAACCGGGAGTGATCTCCTCTAAACTTTCTCGAATATTCTTATATAAAATAACAGGGGATGGGAACTCGGGCTATAGACATGATTTTTAATCCATTTTAAATACTTAAAGTTTTAAAAATAGAATAAAATCTCGTAGAAAAAAGATTGCACACCAAGTGAACGCCAAAAAAAAAAGTGCATAATAGTGCGCAATATTATTAGTACTTTAAAAATTTACATTAGTTTTTTGAGAAATCGGAAGTAGCGTAAATTAGTACTTCCGGGCAACGGAAATTACTCAAAATTTGACAGAAGGTAGAGAATTAGATCTTATACTTACATGTGAAATTTCATTTATCTATCTGAAATAGTACTCAAGTTATATGCTTTTGAAAAATTCAAAGTAGAAAAAGTACCACTTCCAGTTATCGGAAATCGCTCAAAAGTTGATACGGATCTACGATTTTGATAAAATACTTATATATGAAATTTCATCAACCTAGCTGTAACGGTACTCAAGTT